GTTGTGGAGTCTCCTTCTCTGGAGATCTTCCAAACCCGCTTGGACGCAGCCCTGTGCCACGTGCTCTAGGTGACCCTGCGTGTGCAGGGGGGTTGGACTAGATGACCCCTAGAGGTCCCTTCCAACCTTAAGCATTCTATGATTCTATGATCCTAAGATGGGGGTCCCAGGAGGCATTCGAGGAAGTCTTCCATTTGGTAAATCTGCCTTTTTTTTTAACAGATACAAGCAAGTGATCCAGGAAGAGGCCTGCATGATAGCTGATTAACGATGCCAGTTCAGATGTCTGGTCCTAGAGACTGCTACAGGCATGGAAAGGAGCACACAAAAGCCACCAAGCCTTCAGACAACTGACCTCCAAGTGTTTTGTGTGAAGACCAGCACAGCTACTGCTGCTCAAGGGGAGCAGCAGGGGGATTGGACTAGATGTGCAGGGGGATTGGACTAGATGACCTCTGGAGGTCCCTTCCAACCTTAAGCATTCTATGATTATAAACCCAGGAAAAATAAGAGCAAGGTATAGAGCCTGTTAGCAAACATAAAAATGACCCCAACTAGAGCCCTACAATGAGGAGGAAGAAACCATTAATATCAGCAAAATCCTCCTCCTGGTGAAGGACTTGGAAAGCTGATGATTTTCCAGTTACCTTCTCCCCAGAATGAAATCACTGATGTTAAAAACCAAGAGGCACAATGGAAGGGAGGGCATAACATGAGGGAATGTGGTAGATACTGCAAAGTTTGTGTGTAAATATATATATATACTAATTTAACTAGGCTTAATTTGAACTGTGCTGCTATCATTGTAACTGATCTGATGATTCTTTAATCAGTACTTCAATTAGACTAACAATAAACTATTGACTTTGCAAATCCTATGTTTTCATATGCCTATACCAAGATTTTCAGTGCAACAAACTGGCAGGAGTTCAAGCAACCTGTAACTTGGACGCAGCAGAGTGGTAGTAGTTTTGTCTCCTTATTTCTGAGTGACTGTTTTAACAAGTTATTATTATGAAAGACAGATAACAACAGTTCTACCAGCAATATTTTAATGATTTTTTTTAAATGAAAGTGACTACCATTGACATATTTTACAGTGAATACAAGGCTATCTGGCACTGGCATGCAGAAAAACTTCTGAGAGTTTGTCATAGCTGTCTACTGAGGGTGAAATACATATGTGGTGGAGAAGTGTTTTGACAGACGTTGCCAACCATATGTAGTTTTTATAAAGTTAAATTTATGTAATGGGATTTATCTGTTAACCTGGACCTTTGCACTCTCCTGGAGCAGGAATCATCTAGCTCAGAGATATTTTTTGAAAGAAGCTCTGCAGTGATTGGGAAACTCTCAGACGCTGGTTGGTAACCTAGAGGTACAGCTGGCTGCTACTGTGAATGCAGCTTGGGAAGTTTCTCTACAGCAAACATTGCTGTGATTGCCATGGCAATACACATATCAACCATCATGTAGTCAGCATGGATTTTAACACAGCAAGATGTGGACTAACAGTTCAGATACAGACCCAGGTTTCCAGGAAGCTTACACAGCAGAGATACAATTGCAGCAGTATGGCTATGTGTGCTGGTCACATCCTCGTTTGCTTGGCCCCCTGCACTCACACTAGTTATTATGTTCATCAGCCAAAGAGACAAGAGAAGTACTCTAGGCCCTCCTAATTATCAGCAGGTAACTGAGCTTTGATGAGCAAATGACATGGATGCCAGCAGCGGTCCTGTTCCTCATCTGCTGTACTTCTGGCGGGGCACAGACTGTGTACACTCCTCATGATGCTGGCATGGCCATAGTGATGGACTTGCCTTGCTGCTCTTTGATGAATAAAAATGAATGCCATGGTGTTTCTTGGATCAGGCTGTTCATTTCCCTCCCACTCAGTTCCACAGGCAGATCTGAATTATACCTGTGCTTGTTAAACCCAGCACTTGAATAGGGGTAAGACTGAAGGAGGCAGAACAAAGAAAAGCACGTTCTGTTATTATTTGCTGATGGTTGATAGCAAGCAACTAGGTCGAGTGCAGTTATCACCATTACACTCCGACAGGAGGTACTCTGGGTCAGGTCATATAGACTGTCTCTATACCAGTAAGGTAATGAGACGTGGCTGTCCGTACGGCTTGTTAGCAGGGACCCTGGTATGGTTTTAGCCTCAGCTATCAAATAATCCCTGGACAAAGCTGGGAACTTAGCTTGTGCTGACGGCCATTCCCAGTGGTCAGTTTGGGGCAGTGCTGTGCCTGGAGGACACAGCAGTGTGATGCTCTGGCAAGGACAGCCTTGGGCGCAGGGCTGTGGGCGGGATCGGAGGTGGCTTGTGCGCTGCGGGCGAGGGCGGCGGGCAGGAATGTGGCTCAGGGAGAACAAGCACCACCTTGCCCCGCGGCCTCCCCGCAGGGATCTGTGGCAGCAGAGGGTGCTCGGGGACTCCTCTGAACACAGGTGCGCAGGGCGCGCAGGCGCCACCAAGACGAGCCAGCAGCACACGAGTCGGGCCCGTTTGCTCGCGATTTCTCCCCCAAAA